AAAAAAAATATATAGTGTTTGGAACAAACCTGTTCAGCACCTTTCATTTTGAAAAAGTAACAGAGCATTTCAGAGGCCAATTCCAGTTTTCAGCCTGCAGGCCTGCCTCGGTGTGTCCTACACCACATTGGCTATCTCTGTTCACACAGCTGCACCATTCTGACAGGACTGCTGGCTGCCCGACCCTAGCTGCCCAGCGGCCACAGAGAGATTTATGACTCTCGTCAGACCATTTACATTCAGCGTTTCATTTGTGATTTTGTGTGTGTGCATCTCTACACCGCGGGGCTCCATTCTGGCTGTGGCAATAGCCATTCCATGTATTTCGCTTGTGGCGGTCTTAAATTGTCCCATAGCCTCTGGCCTCCAGAGCCTCACAGGACACATGTGTTTTGTCCTTTCAGTTGTACCAAATTCAGCATTACTGTGTCACACAACAATGCTATACAGCCTATATACAACAGCCACTAATTACCCTTTGTATAATCATACCCTGTATTTCTGCTAAGTAATAGAGTAGTATTTGTTGTCTATGTAGAAATTCTTGAAAAATGTAAATTTAAACCAAACAAAAGCATGGTTTGGTGAGTGATGAGTGCTGTTCGGATCTGGTTCATTTCCTTGTGTTAAAAAGTTCAGCTATTGGATGTTGGTTCATATATTGCATATGTATAACATCAAGGTATTATTGTCATTATATCAAATCCCTTACTTGAAGTTCAACTATTTATGTCTGCCTACATGTAGCTTTCTTTGTTACTGGCTCACAAATTCTGAACCCATGCTCAAGGGATTCAGAGGAAATGATGCATGCATATACTGGACTTAATGAGGAAGACAAAGGCTAATGCATGCAGGCATTTCATGTAATGTGGAACATAATATTTGAAAATACATTCTGTATTATTGTGTCAGAAGACGTTAACCATTTTCTTAAGTCTTTACAATTTACAATTACAGGTCAGTTGCTCCTCTGCTGCATTTTTGACGAAGTACCCTCTCAAGACATTGGTTGATGCATTGTTAAGGTTAGGGAAAGATCATAGGTAATAGAAAGGCAAACATGAATTGCAATTATGTAATGGGACGCAAGCGCCAGTCTCATGTACAAGAGTCAGACACACAACCCCCACACCTTTCTTTCTGCCTCACTTCATTTAGGACACACTGGTTCACTCACTGGCACTGAATGTTGGCACTGGATGTAAATTGCGAGGTGCTAATGTAGACTTCCTAAAAACACTGGAATGGTCATATCAAATGGAGGCCTGTATTGTTAAAAGGCATTTCCCCCTACCTTGAGTAACCATGGGTGTGTCAAATATATACTTTTATATAGTGTCTATTGTATTCCCATTTGTACATATGTGGGTGTGTATGGTTGTGACCCAGACCAATCTTTGGTGTGGGCCTGTTCTCCGGAGACAGATGCTGTGCCACATGTCCAGCCTGTTAGACAGCATGGAGGGGGCTAGACTTTCACCCCTTCATCCCGCCACC